CCTTCCTCCCGCCCTGCTTGCTGCTCCCATGTGGAAGACACTGGTTGGGATTTCCTTCTCTCAGCTCTGTTCTCCGCAGGCAGGGTTAGAGAAGCGTTGTCTCAAGGACCTGTTGACTGGTTCCCCTGGATTAAACAGGCATGGGCGTAACAGGGGAGCCACTTAACAGAAAGCAGAACCGTAACATTGACAGACCCTCAACACATGCCGGAGTGGTGTCTCGGGGAACCACTCCCTCTGCGTGGGAAACCCCTGCAGGATCATTCCAGGCAGGTTAGGCACTTTCCAAGAGGTGCATGCCGCCTTCCCAGGGAATCCGATGTCTTGTTGGACAACACTTACTAATTCTGAACCAGAAGTCTGCCTCCTAGTTGATTTCATCGATTCTGTCTCATTTCCTGGTACGACCATTCTTCCTTTCCTCCCTGATAGGAGTTCTTCAGTTTTGAGGACAGCTGGCTATTTTAATCTCTTTAACTCTTCAAGTAAAATATCCTGCTCCTGCATTTGTTTGAATTATATCAGCTCCAGACCCCTCACTACTCTGGCCACACTGTAGTTGTCCTTTTAAACTGTGACCTTAGAAAACCATAGAATGTTTGGATTGGGAGGGACATTGAGGTGATCTAGTCAGCTCCTTCCCCTGCCTTCTTTCTTTTAATGCCGATAGCATTGTTGATTAGTAAGTGGTTACAGATTTCAGATACAGCCGCATGAGTAAAACTACAGAGAGCTTCTAACACGCTTAGGCTGAAAGTTTGATTTTAATGATCTGGAGCGTGGATGATATGGGAAATCTTTCTCTATGAAACCTAGTATGCAGGGAAAGTGACATCTCTCATCAATACAGCTGTGTTGTGAAAGGTAGCTCTGCTACAGTTGGCTGTGCTGTGTTCTGGTGTGGATGCAACCATGAAGTCACAGCCAAAGTGAGACAAGATAAAACTCACAGGAACATTTGGTGTCTAAAATGGTTAAATCCCATTGTAAAAAACTTGAATTAGGAACTAATCTGCTACAAATAAAACATCAGGGGCAGGCATTTAACATAGCAGTTACAATGCCACTTGGGATGCCTGCATTCCCTATCAGAGTGCCTAGGTTCAGGTCCTGGCACTGCTGCTGATTCCAGCTTCCTGCTAATTCACACCCTGGGAGGCAACAGTGCTCAAGCACTTTGGTCCCACTTGGGAGACCTGAATTGAGTTCCCAGCTCCTGGTTTAGCCCGGCTCAGCCCTGACTGTTGCAGACATTTGGAGAATGAACCAGTAAGTGGGAGATCTCTCTCTCTCTCTTGCCTTCTCCTACCCTCTTTACCTTCCTCTCTCCCCTCTTTCAAAGAAATAGATGATTTTTAGAAACAGAGACATTCATACAGCCAGAGGATGTAAAAGCAGTGTCTCCTTTGCTCACCTCTCTTCTAAATCCTGCCACCCTTCTTTCATAAAATTCTTGGATTTTATGTTGACATTTTGTGTGTATCTACTTCCTAAGTGAAGATTATGTAAGAATAGGATGCTCAATTTTCCTGCAAAATGAAAGTCATAGTGTAGGGCCTTTTTATTCAGTTCTGCCTTTCTACATCCTGTCACCTTACAGAGAGGCCTCATATTCTCCCTGGGCAAACTCCTGTGCATCTCAATATCTAGCTCTGAAATCACCCCATGGGTGTCTTCTACCCAGCTTTGTCTGGCAGAGTTAACAACTTTTGCTTGTTTTCCTACCATGTTTGAGACCACTTACCACATGATGTGGCCATTGTGTATCTCTGTGTTTCTCATAACCACCAGACTTTGGCCCCAGGAGGACGAAGGTTCCATCTTTTTCACCGTTGTAGCCTCATAACCTAGTGCAGCTCCTGACAGTCATGAGATATGCTTTGTTTGGCTAAATGTAAGGAGATGGCTCTTCGCCTGTTACATTGGTTCTGGGGTACTGCAAAAACATGGAAGAAATTTCCTGTGTCTGAAGGTCAGACAAGGTCTGCACTGCCCCTGCCACCAGCTCACTCACTCCTGGACCACTTGGAGGAGGCAGCCAGGCCTGGAGGGCAGTCACAGGCAAGCCAAGACTGCACCTGGTTTCAGATAAGGAACGGGAGCCTCATGCCCTAGCAGGGAAGTAGTGGGCATGGAGTCCAGTTGTTTTTAGTTACTGACAGTAACTAAAAAAATTGGCACAGTCCTTCTCCCATCCACTGAATAGCAGGTCACAGCTCTGGGTCTGGAGTCAGACCTTCTGGACTTGTATTCCACCTTTATCACTTACCAGACTTTGTGTAATATTGGGCAACACTGTCAGATTCCTCCTATCTACAATGGATTGTGAGAATGAATAGATGAAGAAATGCATATGAAGCCCTTGGTACAGTGTCTGCAGCTTACCTGGGGCTCAGGAGACCGTTGTTCCTGCTGTGTTGCCTCATGTCACAAAGCTTTAGCACACATTTGAGCCTGAGCATAGAAATGTTAGGTAGAGATCTAGTAACTGAGACTGTCAGCATTTCCTTAGCCCCAGCTAGCACCTGATAGGCATCTGCTTTGCTTAAGTACTTTACATACATCTACTCATTTGTGTGCCACAATTGCCCATTTTGCAAAAAAAAAAGAAATGAGCTTGAGAGAGATGGAAATGAGTTAGCTGAGGCCATGGAGCCGTGGTCTGCCAAACCCAAGCATCATGTTCCCCAAGGAGGAGACACTGGATATTGTAAACAAGTGGTGTGGCTTGTTCACGTTGTGATGTCAGCACTGTCTGGGGCCTCACTGGAAATGGCTGATTCATGCACCTCTTCCAGGGTGAACATTTCTCCAGATTGAGTCACGCAAAAAGAAATGGAGGGCCTTAACGTTCAGCTGTGCAGTTGAGATGCGGAGCTTTCTGTGTGTTAAGGGTCTGTCCACTTCTGGTGACCTAGGCCTGTCATTTCTGTAGCCCCTCACATGCTTACATTAAATCAGCTGTTGCCTAGAACGGACATCTTTTTCATCTGAGCCACCAACGGACAAGGGCTAAGATGTGCTGTCAGTTCTAGAGGGCAAGAGTCCCTCCAAGAGAGGACTAGATATAGAAAACGCACTTGTTCATTCTAAAAGTTTTCCTTACTTAGGACTTTGACTTGAAGCTTTTTGTTTTTATTAACTCCTCACCAACAGAAAGCTCTGGATGGACTAGAAGGGAAACTCGTGTGTGTTGTATGCCTTCCTCACCCTGCCTGGGAGCCTGTACCTGTAGATTTGGGGTGTGATGATGGTCATGACAGCTGTCAGTATGTTGTAATAAGAAGCACGGTAGCTCCAGGGCCTACCACCCACATCTTCTAAGCTGTGGCGTGTTTCTCCACTGGAAGCAACTTTACTTGTAAATTTTGGCTTCCAGAGGATCTTCACAGGTACTTTAGGGATTTTCAAAAAGAAGGGAAAGATTTAAGGCATAGATTGGTTTTTGTTTCTTAGCTACTTCAGTAAAACAGGGTACAGTGGCTATTTAGGTGCCACTTGAGAATGGTACACTAGATCAGCCTGGGTTTCCACTCATGATTGACAAGAGAGGTACTTCTGGTCTAAGAAAGGGAGGTTAATTAGCTAGTGCTCCCCAGTACTAGTTACATTTTCACTCCGGAGCTGATTTCTGGCTGGGGCTTTCTTATTGCCCTATTTTAGGTAGCTCAGTGGTTGAAAGTGTTGGCGCCCAAATTTGAATCCCAATTCAGTCACTTGCTAACCATGTGATCTTGGACAAGTTGCTAAACTCTTCTAGGGCTCATTTTATGCATCTGTAAAATGAGGATAGTCCTAGTTTCTGCCTCCTGAGACAGTTCTGATAAATATGTGAGACCATGGAAAGTGTTTTGCACAGTGCTTAACACATAGGTTCTCAGTGATACTCACTGTTGTCACCAGTCTACTTAAGAGAGAAGTACATTCAGACAAGAGGCTCCCATACCTCTTTACCAGAGTTTTCTCTGTCAGGCCCTCCCATGGTATCCCATGGCCCAAGAGAGTGTTCTGAATGTTAACTACTGGATATCGTAGGTGTTTGTCTACTCCTGTTTCTAGATTACTGATCTGTGCTGTGTGTTCAAGGGCAGCAAACAGTTTCTGTAAATGACCCTAGAGTATCTTAAACTTGTAGGCCACATACAATTTACTGTTGTATACCTCCCCACTTTTTTTTTTTTTTTTTTAGATTTATTTATTTTCTTTGAAAGGCAAGTTACAGAGAGAGAAATCTTCATTCCCCAAATGGCCCCAACAGCCAGGGTTGGGCCAGGCTGAAGTTAGGAGGCAGGAGCTTCATCCAGATCTCCCACATGGATGCAGGGTGCCATCTTCTGCTGCTTTTCCTAGGAGCATTAGTAGGGAGCTAGATCGAAAGTGGAGCAGCCAGGACTCAAACCGGTACCCATATAGGATGTCGGCACCACAGGCAGCAGTTTAACCTCCTATTCTTCCCCTTTTTTATCCTCTAAAAATATAAGAGCCGTTCTCTAAGTGTGAGGGCCACGTAAAAGTGTCTGCAGGCCACAGTTTGCTGACCCTTATTGTCTCTCTGTTCTAATTGGCAAGGTCTTGAATCCCAAGATGATTATGTGCCATCATTCAGGATGCAAAAGATGGTGTTCAAGGGGCCAGTGTTGTGGTGTAGCCAGTAAAGCTGCCAGTCTGCAATGCCAACATCCCATCTGGGTACCAGTTCCTATCCTGGCTGCTCCACTTGTGATCTAGCTCCCTGCTAATGGCCTGGGAAGGCAGTGGAAGATGGCCCAAGTGCTTGGGCCCCTGCTACCCACATGGGAGACCTGGAAGAAGCTCCTGGCTCCTGGCTTAGGCTTGGTGCAGCCTTGGCTGTTGCAGCCATCTGGGGAGTGAACCAGCAGATGGAAGATCTCTCTCTGTCTTTCCTCCTCTCTCTGTAACTCTTATTTTCAAAAATGTAAATAAATCTTAAAAAAAAAAAAAAAAGGATGCCATTCAGATATATTAAGTTAAAATGTTAAGACTAGAGTCCGGTTGAAAAGGTTGAAAAATACCACAATCTCTCCCACATCCATTATAGTCTTTTTTTTTTTTTTTTTTTTTTTTTTTTTTTTTTTTTGACAGGCAGAGTGGACAGTGAGAGAGAGAGACAGAGAGAAAGGTCTTCCTTTTTGCCGTTGGTTCACCCTCCAATGGCCGCCGCGGCCGGCGCGCTGCAGCCGGCACACCGCGCTGATCCGATGGCAGGAGCCAGGAGCCAGGTGCTTTTCCTGGTCTCCCATGGGGTGCAGGGCCCAAGCACCTGGGCCATCCTCCACTGTACTCCCTGGCCACAGCAGAGGGCTGGCCTGGAAGAGGGGCAACCGGGACAGAATCCGGCGCCCCGACCGGGACTAGAACCCGGTGTGCCGGCGCCGCTAGGCGGAGGATTAGCCTAGTGAGCCGCGGCGCCGGCCTATAGTGGATCTTTTAAAATCCAGTTCCTGAGACCAAGGCAGGGTTTGTGAAGAAATCACAGCAGGCTTGACAGGACACCAACTGAAGACGCTCCACACCCATAACATTCGCTTTGAAGCCTCAAGTTGTGATTTTAATTTTAAATTCCTGGGGTTTTGCACCATCAGGTCTCATGTCTGGAGCAGTCATGTTTTATGAAAATAGTGTCTGTTGCTGTGAAGGAAGCTAACCATAATGAACGTGAGCATGACACTTGTTCCTAGCAAAACAGAAAAATGCAAGTATAGTCTTGGTGAAATGACAGTATTAAATCGCAAGTGACGATGATAAAGCAAATATTTAAATTCACAGCTTAAATGGTGTTTGTAAAATGTGATTGCCAGGGAGAGAGCATGCCAGTTCATTACTCCTTAAAGCTGATTCTCTTTCGGCAGAATCATTCCAGGGAAAACGTAGTGCTTATTTTAAACAAACTGCTCCCTGCTTCTTTCAAGGGTGTGCATAAGCAACCTTTATTTTTCAGTCACCATCTTGTCTTTGAGGTGTTTGTGGACAGGAAATGTCTCTTGTGCGTGCTTATTCCTTCTGCACAGGAACTCTGGGGTGATTTCTTCTGGACTGCAGTTTTGCTCATGGGATGCCTCATTTATCCCTAGGAGAGTTCCAGTGATGGAGGCGATGGCATTTGTGGTGAAAAGAAGGATGACAGCCGGGCAGGTGAGACTGTGCCCCTCTGAAGGCAAAGAAAAATAAGGTCCCAGTTTGTAGTTATGCTGGAGTTCATGTGTAATAAAAAGATTTTTTAAGGAGATTCTTTTTGAAAAACTAAATAAGTTGTCTTTTATCAAATTCTTCTGGAGTCACACATAGAGCTTTAACATGGCCATGATCACGACTCTTGATAATATCTTTGGTTAGGATAGTGTCTGAGAGCTAAGAAAGAATTGTGATTTCTTTTTTTTTTTTTTTTTCCAATAGAAGTTTGATTGGTTTGAGGTTTTTTGTTTTTATATTTTCTGAGTTCAGGCTTAACTGAGGCTTTTGCCATTGGAAGGACCAGCTACACAAAAGCCTCTATTTCTGTAAAGAAAAGGTAACAGAGGGCCTGCGCCTTCGTATTCTTTAGAGCAAAGGTCCTCAAATTAGTTCTGCCCCTAAAGAAGGGTGCATCTGTATTTGAGAGATAACAACATAAAATTGTTTCCAAAGCAAATGCAACCCTTCCCACTTTGCTGAGTAATTCCTGAGCCAGTTGTTAAAATAGTAACTATTTTATTAAAGTATTGAGTCAGCTTTGTTTTTGAATAAAATCTAGAAACCAGTCCCCCCTGTGTTAGCTCTGTTGGTAAATGCTAATATCCTCACTGGTGTTTGAAGCCCAGGATGGCTCCGACCCAGACAAATCACCCTGGCCAGCCTCATCCGCCCTCACAGCTCGTCTCAGACGACTGGTCACCGTTTACCAGCGCTGTAACCGCAAGGAACTCTGCCGACCTGAGATTATGGGACCAGGTAACCAAGGATACTGGGTTCAGGAAGAGATGTTCAGGAGAAGCTCAGAAATGGACCTCATCAACAAGGATGCCCAGAAGAGGTAAAAGCCATTGGCCAAAAGGGCATGCTGAGCTGCCCGCTGGGGAGAGGTGACCAAAGGTAAAGCTGAGAGCTGAGGCGGCACGCATGTCTGTGTTCTCATGTGAAGTTAGGTTGCCTCCAGAACTCATCAGGTCTAGCCTGCAGCCGTGATGGCGTTGTCCTGACTGAGGAATCTGATGAGATGCAGGACGCCAGCCGGTCAGTTTCCAGACTTTCATGACTGGCCAGCTTGACGCTCTTCCCTGAGTCCAACCAGTCTCTGGGGATATAATTTAAAAACACCACACTGGCATATTTCAGATCCCCTTGTTCTTTCAGCAATGAAGGGAATAGTGTGCATTGAAGCTGTCTTATGCAGCTACAGTCTGTGTCAAGCCTTGGAGTGTTACAGAAACCTGGAGTGGGGAAGCTCCCTTTGTTCAAACAGGCACCAGAGACAGAGGAGGATCAAGCAGTTGATTACACTAGTGGGCTCAGCTGGAGTCATCTCCTGAGAACTGAGCAACAATCCCAGGATTCTTAAAATATTTATAGGTTCATCAGCATCGCACCTTAGCTGTCACAGCATTGGGGATTTAAATTGCAGCCTACGTGACTTAGGACCACACTTCCAATGGTTGGTGGGCCCGGTATGTTTGTAAAAGAGATACCAGGGGCAGATTTACTAGGACAGATGTATGACTGGAGGTTACAGAAGCAGAGCTTAGGGCGTCTTCCCTCCCCAGACAAGGGAACAGCGGGCAGCTGCTGCTCTAGTTAACTGCGAGCAGCCACTTTTCCAGGTCTGTGTTGGGAGGAGGGGTCTGCTTCTGTCTCTGTCTCTGGATGCGGCTGTATCCTCTACAGGAGGGCACTAAACCACAAATCACAGGCCCAGAAGGAAGGCATAAGCTCTTGGAGTTACTCTGTCAGCACAGGCTGGGAATGATGCCACCAGGAAATGTCAGCAGAGCCGCCATCTTTGAGTCTTTGTGTCTCAGGGTCCTGATAAGCTTCTGGTGAATTAAAAAGAACACCATGTAGCAAGTTCATTTGCTTCCTGGTGCTCCTTTTGACTTTGTAAGACTTGCTGATTCATGAAAAATATCTGACCTGCCTTGCAGAGCTCCAAAGAGAAGAACTAGAGCCCCTTCTTCCCTGCTTCTCCCTGGTCCACGGACCCTCTCCCCATGCACGCTGCTAGCTGGACTCCCAGTGGTGTGGAGTGCACCATGCCCAGGGACCCCTCTCTAGACTGCAGCCTGTAATCTTCTGGCTCCCTGAGTCAGCATCTTCATCTTGTAGGATGTAAATAGGAGGACCTTTGTCTGCCCACTGCTATGGGCAGCCCACCCACATGAAAGCAGGAAGAAAGGCAGCTAGGGGGACCTCGGGGTACCAAGGTAGTGGCTTTCCTCTACCATTCCTCAGCTGTGAGAAGAAAAGTTGAACTTACTGGTCTAGGAGGGCCCTGCAGAATCCTGTGACTGTGTGCTTGTCATCAGGGCAGGATATGTGTGGTGTTTTTGAAAGCTTTATTTCCTCTAAGCAGAAGCAAGTAGGTGATTCCTAGAAATGTTGACTCCAGAGATAACAACTCATCATGTGACTTAGGGAGGAAAATACCAGAAGAAAGAGCTGGAAGATTTGAAAGTGTTTACCTCTTTGGGATATAGGCTATTTTTGTTGTAAAAGTCTGTCAGCCCAATTTAACTTAAGCAAAAATAAAAATAAATCATGAAATAGACAAACCAGCCCTACCTACTTTCTTGATCTGATAGCTTTTACAGTATGTACTCAATAAGCAACTGAGGGCTCACCCTCCCTGCCTGATTAATCTGCAGGTGGACAAGGAGAGAGCAGGCTGACTTTTACCGAACAGTGTCTTCCTTTGGTGTCATTTATGATCAAGAAAAAAAAACCTTTGACTGGACACAGTTCCGCATAATTTCCCGGTTGGACAAGAAGTCGGATGAGAGCCTGGAACACTATTTCTACAGTTTCGTGGCCATGTGCCGGAGTGTCTGTCGTCTGCCCGTGTGGAAAGATGGTGGTGAGAAAACCCAGTCAGTGCATTGTCACATGAGACCACTTTGCTGAAGTTCACTTTGCAGCATTTCCTTAGACAGAGCTGTGGGAGTAGAGTCTGCCTGAGGCGGGAACTCATGGAAGGACAAGAAAAGTTTTAGAAATTCATGATCTTGTTTTTAATTTTTTTTAATCTACTTAAGAATCAGAGAGATATAGCTCCCATCTGCTGGTTTACTGCCCAAATGCCTGAAACAGCTGAGGCTAGGCTAGGCTAGGCCAGGCTAGGCCAAAGGCAGGAGCTGGGAACCTGACCCACACCTCACACTCTGGCATGCACAGACACCCCCACCTTTGCACCTGATGTGGTGTGGAATGAGTGTTTCCATTCAGGTCTGGAAGCTGAGTATATTGGAAAGTTCTGGACTGTAGAGTTAAGACTAACAAGACCTGGATTCAAAGCCAGGTAGCTTATCTGAGCCTGTTTCTTTTTCCTAAAACAGGGACAGTGATTTTAAGTTCTTGTGAGAACTAGATAAGCATATGGAGTTCCTAATGCAGAGAACACATAATGTATGCTTAACAAGTGGGAACTAATGCTATTTCCAGAACTGACATTCTTGGGCTTGTTTCACCCCACTGGGTCTGTCCTTGTTTCATAAAAGCCTTCCTTTCCCTTTTACTGTCCATGTAGCAGGACCCCCACCCCCCCAAACTGCCATGCTCAGAAGCCAGGGCTCCGAAGCCTAAATCACAGGGCCCAGATGAACAGGGGATAGCCGAGGGCCACCTCTGGTGATGGGCTTTGTCTCCCTCTTTCTCCAGGTCCCCCTGACGCCACCATCTACGTTGAACCCATCACCGAGGAGCGGGCTGCAAGGACTCTGTACCGCATCGAGCTGTTACGGAAGATCCGAGAGCAGGTGCTCACGTGTCCTCAGCTGCACGAGCGTCTCCAGCTCTGCAGGCCCAGCCTCTACCTCCCGGTCTGGTGGGAGTGTGGGAAGCACGATCGCGACCTGCTCATCGGCACCGCCAGACACGGGCTAAACCGCACCGACTATTACATCATGAACGACCCCCAGCTGTCCTTCCTGGACGCCTATAGAAACTATGCCCAGCATAAAAGAACCAACACCCAGGCACCAGGCAGTCTCTGCTGTCTTTACCAGACCAACAGCAAACTGTATGAATCCCTTACCTATACTCAGAGGAGCAGGACTTCAGAATGCCTTGAAAATGAACCTGAGAATCTAGTGAAAATAGAAAGCAGAGATGACCCTCTCAGTCTGCCTGGGGGCAGCTTACCTGATGTAACCTGTGAAAACTTTCTCTCTAAAGTTCAGGATGTCATGTCCATCAGCCACGGCGAAAGTCTGCTGCCCGAGTCCTTGGAGAACGTGATGTACAGTAAGAAGGTGCTCTGCCGCCAGCCAGGCTCTTTTCAGGAAAGTCCAGGCACCAGTGCAGAACCCAGGAAGGATGCTGCTGCCATGTCCGTGGGCACAGACGGGAGCTGCCAGCCTGGCCGCCACGAGGCAGAAGTGGCTCCCAGCCCCTCTTTTATGGGTAGCCTAGAAGCAGGAGTAGCTCAGATGAACATTAAAGATGGAAAACATCTGCTGATGCCTGTTTCAAAGGAAGGGGAGCCGTGCTGCCATGAAGTGGGACAGAGGCCTGAAACCATCGGGCAGTTAGACACCAAATGCTTACCTTCGCCGTCCTCTGATCCAGGAAATGAAAGTGGGCTTGTAGACATGTGCAACCTTAGTGTCTGTGACTCCAAAGGAAACCTGTCGTCGGATCCGCAATTAATTGATGTATTAGAAAACAAAAGTTTAGCAAGTAAACTGATTCTGGGTCAGAACCACAGTGATGAGGAGGAGGAAGAGGAGGAAAATGAGGAGGAAAGCTTGGCTGTGGTAGCAGGCATGAGGGAAATGCCACCGGTTTTGCATCTCTCTGAGCCTTCTCCAAATATCCTAAGGGAAAAGAGCCGAGGCCTCCACGTGGATGAAACACAGAAAGGAAGCCTGGAGGCAGGAGGCCAGACTCCTGGACCACAGAGGGCCTTTCCCTCGGAAGCCTGTCAGTGTCACTGCAAGCACATGGAGAGGTGGGCACGGGGCCTCGAGCATGAGGAATTTGAAGTAGAAAAACCCAAGACTTATAACCCGGACCCCTACAGCATCAACACCAGTAGTATCTCGATGGAAGCTGAACCCACTGCTGTTGCACCAGAGCCGTTTCAAGTGACGCGTGGGCTTTTAAAAGAACCTTGGAAGGAAAGTGCAGAGGGAAAAAAAGGTTTCCCCATGTATGTTCCCGAAGGAAGTGACCTCAAGTCAGAAGACCTGGAGTTTGAGAATAAAGATGATTTTGATAGAGATGGAGCCTGCCATAGCCAAGGTATGGAACTGGGGAGCTTGTGTTTGGGGTACACCAGTCCTCACATAGGGCTAGGGCTAGGGCTAGGCTAGGGCTAGGGCACTGTTCCCATACTTTTACAACTTCTGAAACAGGCCTGCCTACCCTCAGCCTGTGTTCAGAACCAAGGTCCCAGGCCTTGGTCAGTCCTGGAGATGGAGGAAGACCAGCCAATTGTAGCAGCTTTGCTGCATCAGCTGTGATTTGGGAAGGGGCTTGTGTGTTTTTATGAAGTAGATGTTAAGTGTAGCATCCAAGGGAAAGTAGTTTCTTTCTCTCCCACATGAGGTACTTCAAACTGGCTTGGAATCAGAAACCTGCACTATAATATAGGCACCATGAGTTTTCAGGAGCTCCAAAACTATAAGTAAATTTGATATTTAAGTTGAGCAGAGAGAAGTGCCATTTATTCATGTCATTGTCAAGATACTGTGGTTTTTATGTAAGTGCATTTGGTATAAGTTCCTTTTGCTAATTATTCATAAATAAGAATAACAAAGTCGAGCATAGTGGTTAGGATGCCACTTGGAATGCCTGCATCCCGTATTGGTGCACCTGGTTTCAAGTCCCAGCTCTGCTTCCGATCCAGCTAACGGGCACCCTGGGAGGCATCAGGTGATGGCTTAAGTACTTGGGTTCCTGCACCCACAGAGGAGACCCAGATTGACTTTAGCCTGGTCCAGCCCTGGCTGTGTGGACATTGGGAAGTGAACCAGAAGATGGGAGATACACCCCTCTCTCTCTTTCTTTCAAGTAAATAAAAATTTAAAAAGAGGGACAAAGAGAGAGCAGCAAAGCTGAACTTCTTGAGTTATCTAGCTTTTTATGTTTAAACTTTCCCCACCCTTGTGTCGCTCCTCCGCCCGCGGATGAACGACACCGGACGCTGTTGATCCCCCTTCAGTAGGGTTTTTATTACAGTAAAGCAAGAGCAAGTAAAGAGAAGAAAAAAGGAGCGATCAAACGAACTGTGCCGTCTCTATCCCCCCTTTATAGTCCTCTCCCACCAATCCGTGCCCTGCTGGCGTTCCTGCAGTCATCACACCAATCAGGTCTCTGTCCACGCGCTGAGCGCGCCGTTCTCTTCCAGTCAGGGGTTGGATCAGCTCCTGCAACTTCTAGCAGTCATGTTCTGCAACTTTCAATTCCGCATTCTTGTACTTCCTCTCAGGCCCTGCCTCCCACACCTTGATTTTCATAAGTGGAATTAGTGTCTGTCTTGGGAAGGAAAGTCTCTGAATCCAAATGAAGATGTACATAGTAGCTAGGATAAGGACTGAGATGCTGGGTTGAAATTGGCTTGATTGAATTACCACTCCAGGCAACCCATAGAGCCAGTCTACCACCACCATGCCCCAGTCCTCCCCGCCCCACACCCCAGAGGATTGCCACCATGTGTTGCGTTATAAAACCTACATCACTTGTGAAAAAAAATCACCAAATAGTCTTTGGAATCCCAGACAATCAAATGAGTGCAGGGTAAGAACAAATGTGGTTTAGAGGAGAAGAAATGTTCCTGAACTGATGTCTTTTAGTGTCAGCATCTGCCTTGCTAAGTTAGAATAGAGGTATTAGTGCACATGGTGAGATTCGGGGAACATCACGTACAAACACACATGGATGTGGGAGTCCCTTGCTCCAGTGCTTTTGCAGGTGCTGCTTCTGCAGTCCTCGGAGGGGGGTCATCCCCATAGTATGTGTGGGATTGATAGGGCCGGGAGGATTAGTGCTGATTTCCAGACTAGCAATCTGCAGCCCTGAAGGGATGGTTACTGGTGCACCTGTCAGAGCCAGCACCCAGATCTCCTGGCTCTTGAGTTTCTTTTCCATGTCATTTTGCTTTTTCTTAAAACTTACATCTTATGTTAAGGCCTACAGAACTCAGCATGACCTAGATAGGCGTGGGGAACATCCTGCCCACAGGCTGTATAATACTGGCAAAATCATTTCATTTGGCCCTGCCAAGACAACCAAGGCAAGGCTAGAAAATCTAGCAGGCTAGTTTTTAAACATAATTCTGGTGGCCTGTGATGATGTTATAAATATCCCAGTGGCTCTTGGCAGGAAAAAAGGTTCCCAGCCCTGATCTAGATAGTTCCTGCCTTCTGGCCATGTTTTGGTTCCTCATGTCCCAGAATGCGCTTCCCCCAGGCAGCCTCACCTTCAAGGTGGTTGCCCCTGCGGATGCCTCTCCACGGCCAGCTTGAGTATCCCTTCCTCTTACTCCCCATCATAGCACCTGGGATCTTCCCTCTGCAGCATTGTCACCACTGACGATTTCAGTTGTTCTTTCACTGTTACTGCCTTCCTGCTTGTTCTCCACCTTGAGACTGTTGCGCCTTGAGGGCCACATCTGTCTTGTTTATCCTTGGGTGCTCCAAGGCCTAGCTTATGAGAAGTGAAATCTTCACATTTCAGAGGATAGACATTCCTTGACAGTTTCACCAGGAAAAGGGGTCTACAGCTCTTCTTGCCTTGGGCCTTTTGCTGCCATCTGTTCGTTGTCTGTCATTACTGTAAGCAGACCTTTGAAGATCCATTTCATGTTGACCGCTGACACGGAAACAAATGAGTTGCCTTTCTCTCTTTCAGTCAGTAAACTGAAACGTTGTGGGTTTCTTTACATCATTTTTTCCCGTAAACCTGGTCTGTTTTACCTTTGTTGAACGTTTCATGGCCTTTCATCCTTTATCATCCATACCACCCTCTTGCTTGCTGTGTTAACATTTCATACTTTGTCCCTTCAAATGTGTCAAAATATTATACTGTTCAGTTTCCCCTTGCTTACTACAGCAAATGAGAAAGCCTCTTTGTGTCATTCATTTCCCCACACTCTCGGATACATGGGAAGATTTCCTTTCTTTGTGGTGGTTTTAGAGTGTGGATGCAAGCTTTTTTTTTTTTTTTTAAGCATTTGGGTCAACTAGTTCTTTTTTTAATTTTTACTATTTTCATTGTTTTTGAAGCATAATGAGAGAGATGGATGGAGAGAGATCTTCCAGCCACTGGTTCACTCTACCAGTGAACCAGTATTCTGCACCAGAATCAGTACTGGGCCAGAAACCTAGTACTCTGTCCTGGTCTCCAGGGTGGTAAGGACCCAAGGACTTGAGCCATCACCTGCCACTTCTCAGGGTGCACGTTAACAAGAAGCTGGATTAGAAACAGCGTACCTGGGACTCAGCAGGCACTCCCCTGTGGAATGCAGGTGGCCCACGTAGACTGCTGCACCATGGGCCTACCCTGGATGCAGACCTAGTCACCGGATGTCTCGCACTGGTAGCCCTGGAGCAGCGTTCCCCTTTATGGCTTCACTGATGTGATTCTCTTGGAAAGAGAAGATTTAGTAGTTAATAGAGCACGGAATAGACTTAATTTAAAACAAAAAACAGAGATTGGATGTTGTGATCTCTCAGACCACTAGTGTTTCCCAAGCATCTAATTTTTTTTACCTTTCTTCCCAGATTACCCAGGGAAATACTCTGAAGAGGAGAGCAAGAGCTCGACCTCGGGCATTGCGGGAGATACGGGGGATGACGTGCAGGAAGCTCGTGCTCCCACCATTGCCCAGCTGCTCCAGGAGAAAACCCTCTACTCCTTCTCAGAGTGGCCAAAGGTACCGCCCACAGCAAAGCACTCTCAGCTTTGAATCCTTCCGTTTATTTATGTTTTTTTCACCCTGCTCAGTGGACGGCAGGCTTGGCCGAGCCGGGGTGCATCTTTGGCCCACGTGGTTTGTTTGTTTGTTTGTTTGTTTTAAGATTTATTTTATTTATTTATTTGAAAGAGTTACAGAGAGAGGTCTTCCATCCGCTGATTCACTTTCCAGATGGCTGCAACGGCTGGAGCTGTGCTAATCCGAAGCCAGGAGCCAGGAGCTTCTTCCGGGTCTCCCACGTGTGTGCAGGGGCCCAAGGACTTGGGCCATCTTCTACTGCTTTCCCGGGCCATAGCAGAGTGCTGGATTGGAAGAAGAGCAGCCGGGACTAGAAATGGTGCCCATGTGGGATGCCGGTATTTCAGGCCAGGGCTTTAACCTGCTGCACCACAGTGCCAGCCCCGAATCCTTCCATTTAAACCTTTTAGAGTATTTCTGAGTATATAGGTTCAGAGAAATGTCTAATACCTTTAAAAGGTATCAGTTATGTAACATTTGAACATTAAAGACATGTACACTTGGCTTTTTTGACCATATGGTGAAAGTGTAAAATTGTGGCATGCGCCACGGCTCACTTGGCTAATCCTCCACCTGCAGCACCTGCACCCCAGGTTCTAGTCCCAGTCGGGGCACCGGATTCTGTCCCGGTTGCCCCTCTTCCAGGCCAGCTCTCTGCTGTGGCCCGGGAAGGCAGTGGAGGATGGCCCAAGTGCTTGAGCCCTAGTCTCCCGGCATGGGAGACTAGGAGGAAGCACCTGGCTCCTGGCTTCGGATCGACGCAGCACGCTGGCCGTATCAGCCATTTTGGGGGTGAACCAACGGAAAAGGAAGACCTCTCTCATTGTCTAAATCTGCCTGTACAAAAAAAAAAGTGTAAAATGGTTCTCATATTTATGGCACTGTGGCTTTAATTTTCATTGTCCGGACTGTGAAATTTATTTGAAGGTTTATGATGTGATTATGTTTGAGTGAGTTCTTTCCTAATTAGTGTTATGGTATAGTGGGTTAGTCCACTGCTTGGAACTCCTGCATCCCATGTTGGAGTGCCTTGTTCAGGTCCTGGCTACTCCACTTCCAATTCAACTTCCTGCTATGCTTATCCTGCAGAGGCAGATGATGGCTCAAATGGATGAGTCCCTGCCACTTACATGGGAGACCCAGGTAGAGTTCCAAGCTCCTGGCTTTTGCCTGACTCAGCCCTGAACCACTGGATGGAAGTCTCTCTCTCTCTCTCCCTCCCGCCTCCCTCTCTCTCTCTCTCCCCTTCCCTCCCTTCTCCCTCCCTCCTCTCCCTTTTCTCTTCCTTTCAAGTAATTAAAAATAAATAAAATAAATGCATTCATTTATAATCAGCTTGTTCTGGTGAAAAAACATGACCCTTGATCTCCAGAGACTGAATTGGGTAACTTGGAACTTCCTCCTGTTGTTTTTCCCTAGGATCGCGTGATAATTAACCGGCTGGATAATATTTGCCACGTGGTGTTGAAGGGGAAGTGGCCCTCCAGCCAGCAGTGTGAGCCCTCAGGCACACTGCCCACCCCCATCTTACCCAGCAGCGTGGGTTCTCGAAGCAGCCTCTCAGAACCAGACGCAGCAGAACACAGCTTCAGCAATGGGGCGGCACTGGCGGCCCAGATCCAGAAGGTGAGGCCGGCACCTTCCGGAAGGGCACCTTCCACTTCACTGAGTCGTTCATTCAGCAGACATGTACTGAATGGATAGAGGATCTTTTTGGTCAAGCATTAATGTTAATTAAGGAATGTAGACTCCACCCTTAGCCAGTGGAAAGCTGTTAAAAGTTGCAGAGCAGAGAAACGCGTGATGAAGGCAGGTTTGCAGCGCAGCTGGATGGCGTGCGGATTGGTGAGGTGAGGGTCAGCAGGAAGGAGCGCCTCCTGTGGCTGGGGGCCCAGGTGGGAAACTGAGGAGCAACGGAGGCTCCCGACTCTAGGTCACAGGCAGAGTGGGTGCAAGGAAACGAAGAAAAGTTGGCAGGAACAACTTGATAGTGAGTATATGATGGAGTCTTCAAAAAGTTCATGGAAAAGTAGTACTATCAAGAAAACATGCCTAGATTGCTGTTCTGTCTTTGCGCCAAAATAAACTTTCTCTTTTAATTCCGTTTTTCTGCAGTTTTTCCAGTACCCTTGTAAAAAAAGGGAGGCATGGGTGGATCAGTGTATTCAGCCTGTGAGGGGAGAGGTGGGCCGCCAGAGCGGTGGCAGCTGATGGAAGTTAGGAAATCAAGGCAGGAGTGAGCGTCTCTGTGGAAGGTGATGAGGTTTTGAGATGAGTTGTGAGCGCGCTGGCTGTCAGTCTTGACTGCATGTTGAAATCAGCTGAGGACCTCGGCAGGCGACTGGTTGTGATTTACTGGCCTGGATATTGGGGTTTCTCTTTAACTCCCCAGTGATTCTGACGTACAGCTGAGCTTGCGAATCCTGGAGTTAGAATCTTGCAACCCGCAGGAGTTTATGGACTAGCAGCATTAGCATCTGGAAACCTGTTAAAAAAAAATGCAGATTTTCAGGCTCAGTTTCAGGTTCACAACAGTAGAATCTGCATTTTAACAAGCCACCCGGGTGATTGGGAACCAAAATTTGAGATAGTTTGAGTAGAAGAATTTGTGAGAAAATGATTGACAATAGGACGAGGCCTGGGGAAGTTGGGCTGGAGAAAGCCCTGGCATTCAACCATGGAGGGGGCGGTCAACCTCTCTTGCCATGTGTGTGTTCACAGGAGAGTTTCTTAGCTCCGGTCTTCGCAAAGGATGAACACAAGCACAGACGGCCCTATGAGTTTGAGGTGGAGAGGGATGCCAAAGCTCGGAGCCTGGATCAGTTCTCTGCCACCCACAGGCACCCCCCTATTGTCCTCAATGGCTGGCATGGGGAGTCAGCTGTAGACCTCTCCTGCTCATCAGAAGGGTCCCCAGGAGCCACATCTCCCTTCCCAGTGAGTGCCAACACTCCAAAGATCGGGGCTATCGGTTCACTTCAAGGAGCCCTTGGCATGGACTTGTCTGGGATTCTGCAGGCTGGCCTGATCCATCCAGTGACAGGGCAGATCATCAACGGAAGCCTCAGAAGAGATGATGCTGCCTCGAGGAGGCGAAGGGGCAGGCGGAAACACGCCGAAGCGGGCATGGACCTCATCTTTCTGAAGGAACAGACACTGCAGGCAGGGATCTTGGTGGGTATTGGAGGCCTGCAAGTAAAAACACTGGCCTTTCTACACTGAGAAACTTCTTCCTCAGGCACAGAATATTTTGGTTTATGGACCTTTATCCCTGTTTCCATTCTCTTGTTTGCTTTCTCTCTTGAGAAGTACCCTCGATGTTTTCTAGAAATAGCTAGGAGCTAGGTACTAAGTTATTCCTGGCCCCTAGCTTGCATGCAGTCTGGAGAAATGAGCCAGCAGGCCTTGGCCTGTCCAGGTAAAAACAACCCAAATCCTCCAGAATTTCACAATGGGCCAAAGGTGACCCAGAACAAGCCAAGCAGCAGATGGGGCTGAGTTTGCGTTGGCGTGAATGTGAGGGAGCACTTCCCAGGACTGTGGGCTTGCACGGAGTAGGGTGTGGAGGAGCAGCAGGAGTCAGGACTACCCCCGTGCGGATCCTTGTTCACTGTGCGACATTGCACCTCACTTCGCTGTTCTGTTAAGTGGGACAGCAGCAGCTACCACAGGTTTTCTGGGAGGGTTCCTGGAGATCATTCTGAGTGCTTTCTAAACTCACAGGAGATTATTGTAAACTGCGAAAAAGTCAGAAAAGTATAGGCCTGACCAAGACTTTACTTACTGCTTAATGTATTTTGGCTTTTTCCGTTGGTTAAGTTTTGAGCTCCAAAAAAGGAGTCACATTTCATGGTTTCTTATCTTAAAAGCAATAATAGGCCAGCACTGCGGCTCAATAGGCTAATCCTCCGCCTTGTGGCGCCGGCACACCGGGTTCTAGTCCCAGTCGAGGTGCCGGATTCTGTCCTGGTGGCCCCTCTTCCAGGCCAGCTCTCTGCTGTGGCCCGGGAGTGCAGTGGAAGATGGCCCAAGTACTTGGGCCCTGCACCCGCGTGGGAGACCAGGAGAAGCACCTGGCTCCTGCCTTCGGATCAGTGTGGTGCGCCGGCCACAGCGGCCATTGGAGGGTGAACCAACAGAAAAAGGAAGACCTTTCTCTCTCTCTCACTGTCCACTCTGCCTGTCAAAAAAAAAAAAAGCAATAATAATAACCAGTTTTTTTATTGAGTGCCTACTCTGTGCCAGACACTGTGTTCATGGTTTTACATGATTATCTTGATTGAGCCCTACAACAATTTTGTGAAGATAAATGTTATTATTCCTGATTTATAGATGAGGAAGTTAGGTTTCAAAATATTCAATAATTTGCCTGAGATTATCCAGCCAGTGCGTAGCAGAGCAAGAAACCAAACCAAGGATCCAGCTCTCTGATGCTTTACTACCAAGATAAATAGTGTGGGTATGTCTTTCTCATGGACACTGGGAAGCTGAGGTTTCAGTTCTTCTCCTGCCTGATCTTACAGTCATGTTTCTCTCTAATGATCATAGAATTCTGGGAGTGAGCTAATAAAAATTTCTTTGCCTTCCTTCAGGGGCCACCCTTGTAGTGCAGCCTACAATACAAGCTTCCCATATTAGAGCACCGGTTCAAGTCCTGGCTGCTCCAGTTCCAATCCAGCTCCCTGCTAATGTGCCTGGGAAAGCTGTGGAGGATGGCTGAAGTTCTTGGGCCCCTGCCACCCATGCAGAAGACCTGGATGGAGTTCAGGGCTCCTGGTTTCAGCCTGGACCAGCTCTGACTATTGCATGTCTTTTGGGGAGTGAACCATTAGACGACGGATTCTCTCCCCCCCTCCCTCCCTCCCTCCCTCTCTCCGCCCCCCTTTTCTCCCCCTCTCTCCCTCTCCTCCCCATTCTTACTCTCACACTCCCCTTCCAATAAATAAATATTTTTCTTCCCTTTGACCTCAGTAGTTTTTAAACTTATGAATACAGGCATGTATATGTCATTGGCACACTAATGTATCAGTAGATCCCATTAGAGGCCCCAGGAACACAGGGATGAGGAAGACAGGCAGCAGGACTTCAAGTGAGGAGCGGGGAGTAGTTGAATAAATCCTAGTGTGGCCTTTTCTGTTCCCTGACAGAGCCATGAGCACAGTGCTATAGGCACCGGAGCTGGAGTGGCCAGTGTTGCCTGGGACAGTCAGTGGTGACACAGAATGCACAGTGAGTTGGCAGCAGTCAGGATGGGAGAACAGGTGGACAGTAGGAGAGGAACACTCGGGTGTGTGCAGAGTTCTGGTGCCGACACCCCAGGTGATAGCAGGGTGAAACTAGATGGAGAGGGGCACAGACCACCTTATGTTTTCCTTTCAGGAACTAGTTTTTTTTTCTGTCAGATTAACTGTACGTACTCCTTTATCCTTCATCCAGGAAGTCCATGAAGACCCCGGGCAGGCTGCCCTGAGCACCACACACCCTGAAGGGCCAGGACCTGCTGCCTCTGCCTCCGAGCCAGCTGCAGTGACCAACAGCCAGGCCGAGAAGGCCCTTCCCAGCAAGAGTCTGCTGGACTGGCTGAGGCAACAAGCAGACTGCTCCTTAGAAGTTCCCGGCTTTGGGGCGGTAAGTGTGTGTTGTTGCTGCCTGAGACCACTGTTAACTCCCTTCAGACTTGGTGCCATTTGTGATAAGTGCATGTTGAGGGAAGCCAGAGCTGAGGGTTGTTGGAGAGAAGCTTGTGTTGAGTGACAACATCATTTTAAAGTGTTTTGTTGATGTTTTAAGTTTGAATTTTGGTAAAATTCTCCAGTAGCAAGAATTACAGCTCATGTCGAAACAGCATGCCAAATAGACATGCAACAGCTTAAAAGGCCAGAATTTGCCTTTTGTCCCCCATTCTCCCCAAAAACTATCACACAATATCTTGACCCTGCAGAGAAATGTTTAATTAAGTCACATAAACCTGCCACTTGATGGAAATTTTCCTGTGTTTTTAAGATAATCCATTACGGCCGGCGCCGCAGCTCACTAGGCTAATCCTCCGCCTTGCGGCGCCTGCACACCGGGTTCTAGTCACGGTTGGGGTGCCGGATTCTGTCCCGGTGGCCCCTCTTCCAGGCCAGCTCTCTGCTGTGGCCAGGGAGTGCAGTGGAGGATGGCCCAAGTCCTTGGGCCCTGCACCCCATGGGAGACCAGGAGAAGCACCTGGCTCCTGCCATCGGATCAGCGTGGTGCGCCAGCTGCGGTGGCCATTGGAGGGTGAACCAACGGCAAAGGAAGACCTTTCTCTCTGTCTCTCTCTCTCACTGTCCACTCTGCCTGTCAAAAAAAAATAATAATAATCCATTACGACTTGGGGGAGGGCATCTGTTTACAGTTACTGCTTTAGGAACTTCCTAGCAGATCATCTTACTGCCCATGTGCTAAGTTATTGAGATAAAAATTCTTTAGGAGAGGGCTCCTAGGTACTGATGTCTTAGTTTCTCTCTCTCTCTCTCTCTCTTTTTTAAGATTTATTTATTTTATTTGAAAGGCAGAGTTACAGAGAAGCAGAGAGAGAGAGAAAGAGAGGTCTTCCATCCAGTGGTTCACTCCCCAGATGGCCGCAATGGCCAGAGCTGCACCGATCCGAAGCCAGAAGCCAGGAGCTTCTTCTGGGTCTTCCATGTGGGCACAGGGCCCAAGCACATGGGCTGTCTTCCACTGGGAGCTGGATCAGAAGTGGAGCAGCTGGGTCTCGAACCGGCACCCATATGGGATGCCAGCACTGCAGGTGGTGGCTTTACCCGCTATGCCACAGCACCAGCCCCATTAATTTCTCTTTTCTCACTTGCTGGTCTACCCTGCCACCATCTTTGTCCTGGATACATCACACTAATTAGATGCATAGGCAGAGAGTACCCAGCACAACGAGAGTGGGTCACAGACGCATCCTCCCAAGACAGACAAAAACACCAGGCAGGCAGCCGTGAGGAGAATGATACTAAGGAAGCTGGGGATTGAGCAGTGCCCTTCAGCTTGGTGTTTTAGGCTGGGGACGCAGCCTGAACAGCCTGTTTCCAACCTGCTCCAGGAACCCTGAGGCTTCAAGGAGAAGGGCTAGCTGAAGGCCAGGGAGGGGCAGGCCCTGTGCAGACAGCGGTCACTGAGAGAGCGGCTGCATCAGCGGATTGGGGCGCCTGCATCAGAAGAACCTGGGACAGAACGTTTTGTGATGTTGGTCTCCGTTTGCCTCCTAGAATTTTTCAGACAAACCAAAGCAAAGGAGGCCTCGCTGTAAAGAACCTGGAAAACTAGACATCAGCTCTCTGAGTGGGGAAGAGAGGGTTCCAGCTGTCCCCAAGGAGCCAGGACTGAGGGTAAGGAAGAGAGAGATGGGCGTGGGGCTCAGGGGAGTGAGCCTGCCAGCTGAACCACACTTGCAGGCTTGAGAGAGAGCCCCGGCTGGGAGGTGGGCAGCTGGGTGACATTTTTAAAGAGGACAAGAGGCCAGCACAGGAAGTTGGTAAATAGTGGTAAGTGGTATGCGAGCATTTTTGACTTCCTGTGACTTCCATGGTCGTTGGTTTTCAGCCTTTACCTCCAAAACTGTTTGTTAAGCCACTTCCAAAGCTTGAATCTTTTTTTCCTATGTAGAGTTACAAGAAAACAGAAACCCTAACCCCCATAGGCAGTCTGTATCCAGTGTTTAAAAAAATTCATTGTTGGAAGTTTTTGCTTTCTAATCTTGTTTTTCTGGCTACCTTTTAAGACATTTCTTCTTAGTCCATCCTCACTGGCAATGAAAAACAGCTGAGTCCAAGCACTGCCGTTTTCCTATTTTAGAATCATGAGCCTGGAATTGACTTCAAAGACATCTGCAGAATACTTGTCATAAAATGAATCTGAGTTAATTATAGCTTACAGATGAGTACAGATTTGGGCTAGGAAACTCATAACCTCTAGGGGGCAGTAATAACATTTCAGCTTGAACGCTTATTGAGTTTGGGCTAATTACATGTAAATGAGCTTTTCGCCTCCTCAAAGTGCATTCTGGGAATCGTGGTGGGGACGTGGGCTCTCCCCAGGTGTGTCCTAAACGTGAGCTTTCCTGAGCACCTGTCTCTGTAGCTACATCTTTACTGAGGATAAATTCCCTTCTGGGTGGAACTGCCTGAATGCGATTTCTCTAGCTCCATGGACAAACCCTGGACATTTCCTCCTGGTGTGAAAAGCGGCTGTTACTTGGTGGTCTTGAAGAACTTGCTGCTGACTCAGTCGCCTGGGTTACGTCCCTCCCAGCAGCCACCAGACACAGCCCTTGCTCACCTCTGTCCACTCACAGCCACTGAGACCTGGGCGCAGGCCCCCAAGTCACACATTGGGAAGGCTGCCCTTTTTCCCCGCCTCTCCCTTTATTCTCAGAAAATGTGCCGGCTCCCCTTTCCCAAGACCTGCTTGTGGTATACAAGCTGAGGGAGCTCCCATTTCTTCTGTTTGCTCTCAGCCTTCTTGTGTTTTAGCACACGGTAAGTGTTTCCGGAAGGATGTCAGGAAAGACCTCTGGTTCCCACTTTGTAGTATTCACTGCGTCTCAGCGTTAGGAGACGCGTCCAAAGAGAAAGTGTGCCGCCACCCCACCCCGCCCCCACCTGGCTTTCTCATTTCTTTGTACATGTCCAACAGTTTCCCTCCTGTTCCCTGGAAATTGATGTTCCCCCCTCCCCTGCAGGCACTGACACTCTTGCCAGAAAGCCCATTTCCAAGCTCTCCTTACAAGCCAGCCTCTTCCCAGAGATGCATTCCCCTCCTTTGTTACATAAACACACTCCCTGCCTTGGAGGCCCTTTTTCTGCCATGAGGCAAGAACAGGAAGCAACTGTCCACCTGGTCCTCCGGCCTTCTTAGCAGTGCAAAGCCACATACTGGGCTTCGCTCCAGACCCTACCTCTGGTCTCCCAACCACTCCCCCTAGGACATGAGCCCTCGGGAGGTAGAGGAGGTACTGTACTCTTTTTCTTTCCCATACAGACTCTTAGGCTGTTATAACAAAAATACCCTAGACTGGGAGGCTTATAAACAGCATGAAATTCACTGCTGATGGTTTTGGAGGCCGGGCAGTCCAAGGTCAAGGTGCCTGAGAACCTGTCCCTCATTGACAGCTGTTTTCTTGCTGTGTCCTCACATGGCAAGCAGGACAAACAAGCTCTCAGCGCTGAGCCCATTTATGAAGCTCCTGATGCCATCACCTGGGGGGCAGGATTCCAACAAAGAAATCTGAAGGGACACAGACATTCCACCCATAACAAGAACCTGTCAGCGTCTTCTGGAAGTAGATGAAAATCCTGCAAGGAATTCCTTCCTTCCTTTGAGTTCACACAGCCCTTGTGCTTTGTGTCTGTGGCTTGGCTGGGCAAGGTCCCTAAGAGGTAGCACAACACACACTGCACCTAAGGCTGTAGGATTCAGCATTACAGTGACCAGTACCGTGAATTATGTTTGTATGTGTTTTACATACGTAACTAGTTTTTCAGGTTTTTTTTCCTGAGCCATTTGATAGTAAATTGAAGACAAGACATATCACTCCTAAATACTTCTGCATGTACCCCCCAAGAACTTTTTCCTATGTAATTATTGCCATTGTCGCACACTCAGGTGAATACTCGTGGTGTCTAATGTCTAGCCCATACTCAGATTTCACCAGTTGTCCTGAGAATGTCTTTTTAGAGCTGGTTTTCTGTTTTATTTTGTCCTGGCTGTAGGGTTTATAAATAAGGAGCCATACATTGCATTTGGTTGTTAAGTCTCTTTCTACTCCACGTTTGTTGGATGAACCTGCCCAGCTTCCTGGGAGGAATAAGGAGACTCTGGCTTCCGTTCTGGGGCTCTAGAGCTGGCGCAGCTGCCAGCCTGTGATGATGAGGAGATTTGCTGGGCTGGAGAAGCAGAGCTGCTCTCAGCACTGCCTGAACACAAGGGATCGCCTTTTCCTTTCTCTTCACCGTCTCCCCAAGCCTCCCCTGCAAGAGGAAGCAAGCTTGCTCCCAGGGTATAATTACCAGGAGGGAGAGCTGCCAAAGCCCGATTTGGCCATTGTGTGTGTGTGGTTGCTGAGCTGCTGGGAGGGGCACCTGCCTGGGGTGGGCAGCAGCTGGGTGGTTGGAGTTTCTCTCCCTCCACAGGAAGTGCTGGCTGCTGGCTTCCTCTACCAGCCCCTCCCCCCTTTACATAATGGTAAGTGAAGAGCTGCTCTTCCTCCCCATCCCCCACCCCCGGGGACTTTGTATTGCTGCTGTCCTCATCTGTCCCTCCTGTTCCTGCCTAGCCAGCTCTCTTCTCCAAAAGGGCCCAGCGTTGTCCACATCCATGGTTCTCAGCAAGGGCAGGACCAGGGTACCCTTGAACATCCTGATGCCTGAGGAGTGCTGTGTGCTCAGAGAGCAAGCAGGGTCACGGAGGCCACAGGAGCTGCAGGGTGTGAGCTGGTCGTGAGTCCTGTCTAGTCCTAGAGGCCCTGGGGAGGAACTCAAACGTATGTTATGGATCTGATTTCTAGCAAACTCTTTGAAAATGAGATGGAGCTCTGGGGTAGATGTTCAGCTTAGTGGTTAAGACACCAGTGTCCCATATCAGAGTACCTGCATTCAGGACCCTGCTCCAGTCGTGACTCCAGCTTCCTGCTGATGCAGGCCCTGGGAGGCAGCGGTGATGGCTCAAGGAGTGGGATCCCTGCCCTTCACATTGGAGACCTGGATTGAATTTCTGGCTTCTGACTTCAGCCTGGCCCAGCCTTGGTCATTGCAGGCATCTGGGGCGTGAACCAGTGGATAGGAGTTTTCTTTCTCTGTCTCTCCAGTAAATAAATAATTAAAAAAAAAAAAAAATAGAGGAGGCATTGTTTGTCAAACTTTGGGCTTGGTTTCTTCACAGCAAAAAGATTTGTGAGATCCAACACACCCCTCCCCCTAGAAAGTTAGGGGAGAGATTTCTGAGGGGACATGGGTGGTACACATGAGGAAGACACTACCTGCACCTTGCCCTGGCCCGTGCTGGGCTGAGGTACGGTGCCACCTACACCTGACACTGCCCAGTGCTGGCAGAGCAGCTGGCACAGAATGCGCTGGTTTACATTGCTGGGCTCAAGACAGACAGGCGAAAGATTGTCCTTTTACCTGGCCATAATCCATGAGATCCTACTTCTCTCTTTGGAGACAACCAGCCGGTGACTATCCGCAGAACCAGAAGGCAGCCACCCTGACATACTTAGGACAGAGCTCTCTACGCTTTGCAGGTGGCTCATCACACTGGAAATAGGAGGGATGTGATGGTTGAGTGAGGAAGTCGTGGGCTGTTGCAGGGTCTTAGTCCACCCATACAAGGATGGACTGGGTCCAAGGAAAGGTAAGTGCCCCCGCTCGCCCTCGCCCGTTTCCCAAGACAATCAGACGCAGCAGGGAGCCAAGTCTAGCAAGAACTCATTTATTTTGCGAGGAACAAAGCCTTTTAAAGCACAAAACTGCAGAGTCATTGGGGCAGGGCATAAGGACCAACCAGTCACTTAAAGGGTCACTTTACGGGATGATTTCTATAGGACTAGCCATATGTCCAAACACTTGTTACTAGTTTTGTTACCTCCCCTGATGTTGCATAGCCAATTAGTTTTGGTGGTAAACAAATTTGAGTTCCACCCATCTTACTTCCTCTGGGCACCATCTTTGAATTGCCTCTTGTAACTAATTTCCCCACAGGTTGTACAAACAGGATCTGGGTTCTGGCCTGCTCTGCCTCTGAGCCGCTATGCCCCTGGGCAGATCCCGCCCCCTCTCAGTGGAGGGGAAGGGGCACCCGACATGACCATTGCAGAGGCTGCTTCCAGCCCTTTGATAATAAGGCAAGGCATTTGGAAAAAATTTTCTCCCTGGACAAAGCTGCCATCATAAAGCGTTTTGTCCACACCAAGCAGGTTTTTCTTGACTATTCTTTGGGAAATTGAAAGACAGGTGTAGAGCTTGAAAAATAACCATTTCCAGAAACTTGGATGCATTCAGATACAGGTGTTTTCACGTGTCTGTGGGCCTGTAAATGGGTGATGGTGCTAACTTCTAGGACTCATGGGGTGAGCACACGGAGTCCTTCCTGGGGTGCCTGACATGGGGCAAATACTTCTTGAATGGTAGCTGGAGTTTCCCCTGCCACGCTCCCTGATAATCACCTTCACCTCATGACCACTACTCCTAGCCTGTCCCTGTCACTGCTGACCACCTCTTATATTATCCTCACAGCTCCCTGAGAGCTCAAAACCAAGGTCACCAGCTGCCTCTCACACGAAAGTCTGTTGTGTTTCGCAAGTATCTTATTTTACAGTTTTGCGAGAAGAGAGGCAGTGAAACAAATGGGAAACGACGGAGCTACTGAGTTCAAGTTGAGAAGGAAGCCCCTGGGAGGATGCTGAGTAGCTCTCTCCACTGCTCTCAGACCTGGCTGCCAGGCTGAGCCCTCAGAGACCCTGCTTTCCTGACCTTTGTGTTCACGTCCTCTAGCATTTCAGCCCTGATAGTTTTTCTGGCTTTTAGGAGACCTGCACCTGTTGAGTGTGCTCTGCTGAGGAGTATAGCCAGGCCTCGGCCTCTGACTCTCAACGCCATGGGGGCTGTGGGCCAGTAGAGTCTCGCTGCTTCTCGCCACCTCCCCACTGCCCCCTCACCAGACTCTTGTAGAGAAGGAAAGCAGCTGCACAAAGGAGAATCCTGGGAAGGCAGCAGGCACAGCTCGTGGAGGCGCTGGCCCCTCTTGCACTGGCAGCCAAGCAGCCTCCCACCTGAGCCGCTCTGCAGGCCCCATGTTGCAGCTGTGATGGTGACCTGTGTTAGTGGACCCTCAGGGCCACTCTGAACACAGGGAAGGTGGCAAACTACCAACGACTTTGTAACAGGAAGCCTAAGAAGGAGACACGTGCATGGTCAGGGCAGCTGACTTCTCAGGCGCTGGCTCGGAGGACTTAGTCTTTGTCCTTCTCTGCACAAGAAGAGACCAAGAGTGTTCAACAGCATGAGCATAATGCCTTTTTTTAATCCTCCAGAAGTGTTATGACTTGATAAACTGAAGAAGAGGGTAGTCGAGAGAGAAGGGGACGCCACGTTAGCCAGAGGCAGGGAACTGCAGGCACCAGGTCCTGAAGGGAGCTGCTCCCTTTCTGTGGGGAAAACGTTTCCCTCTTAAATGGGAATGATGCTCACTGTCCTTGACACAGGTCCAGAGACAGACTTGGTAATCCCAGTGGTTTAATTACCTCTCTGCAGCCAGACTGGGCACTCAGGGAATACGCTCTCCTCCGGGTCCTCACTGCCCTGTGGAGTTCCTGAGCCTCATTCTCAGAGGACGGAGGGTGTGCTGCTGTTAAAGCACTCTGCTCTCCTCTAGAATTCTGTGTGGCTTAATCCTGATGCACCAGAGAAGGATTCAAAGGCGTAAAGCCAGGTGACCCGTGTGCAGGCACGGTGGAAGGCACAGGCCCAGCCGCAGCCTGGTAGTCTGTGTGAGCAGAAGTGCTTAACTGTGGAGCTCTTTGCTAACTCAGAAGCCTCCAAACAGGAACAAATGATGGTCTTCCCTAAGGGAAATCAGACCTTCACTTATCTGGATGGTGTGTCCCCAGCGTGTTCAGTGGTGCCTCCCTTACCGCAGGAAGCAGGTGTATACCCCCTTGCATCCAGGGCCACAGCCTGAAGAGGGGAGCAAAGCACACGCTGCTTCCTGTGGGTGTGCCGGCATGAAAACACTTCTCTCGACGACTCTGGAAGCTAGGAATCAGTGTTCTTTCCACCGGCGGCTGAGGATTGGAGCTGAGCTCTGCCTGGCTGCAAAGCCCTGTCTTACATATTCTGCTTTGTTGTCTTTTTTTTTTTTTTGACAGGCAGAGGGGACAGTGAGAGAGAGAGACAGAGAGAACTGCTTTGTTGCTTTAATAAGAACCTTTGTGTGCCATAAGGTTTTGGTGAAGGTCCTACCTCGACCTGGCCTGTTGGAAGTGCTGGTCCGCAGCTCCCAGCTCCCTGCCAGTTTCTCCCAGCATGGGCGCTGCCTTTGCCTATGAGTGTGGGAAGCCCTGCTTGGTGGCAATGCATGCCCAGCTTGTCCCCGTGCCGCTAGATGCTCTCAGCCTCTGAAGGAGAACCCCTTCGGGTCCAGGGGCCCCAGTGGGTGAGAGGCACTCCTTCCACCAGGAACCCCGCGTGGCACTTGGGGCAGTTGAGGCCAGTGCAGGGCGCTGTCCTCTCCGGACCGACCACTTGCCATCTGGTAACCTTCGGCATCTTGTGTTTCTTTGTCCTTTTTTAGGGGTTTCTCCCAGAAAGCAAGTTCAACCACACCCTGGCTGAGCCTGTTCTTCGGGATGTGGGCCCCCGCAGGAGGGGGAGGCGGCCCCGGGGCGAACTCCTGAAGGCTCCAGCCATCGTGGCAGACTCTGCCTCCGGAATGGGGCCGCTGTTCATGAACGGGCTGATTGCGGGGATGGACCTGGTAGGCCTGCAGAACGTAAGAAATGTGCCAGGCATCCCCCTCACCGGGCTCGTGGGCTTCCCAGCCGGCTTCGCCACCATGCCCACCGGCGAAGAAGTCAAAAGCACCCTGAGCATGCTGCCTATGATGCTGCCGGGCATGGCCGCAGTGCCCCAGATGTTCGGGGTGGGGGGACTCCTCAACGCACCCATGGCGACCACCTGTGCATCCCCTGCCCCAGCGTCTCTGTCAAGCACAACGAACAGTGGCGCGGCCACCACTGAAAAGACTGTGGAGGACAAGCCAGGCAGCCACGACGTGAAAACAGACACCTTAGCCGAAGACAAGCCTGGTCCTAGTCCATTTTCTGATCAGTCTGAACCTGCAATAACTACCAGTAGTCCCGTGGCTTTTAACCCGTTTCTCATCCCGGGGGTCTCTCCTGGACTCATTTACCCATCCATGTTCTTGTCCCCTGGCATGGGCATGGCTCTGCCAGCCATGCAGCAGGCCAGACACTCGGAAATAGGGGCTCTGGAGAGCCAGAAGCGGAAGAAGAAGAAAACCAAGGCGGACAGCGCGAACCCCAACCCAGACCCTGCTCCCGGGGCCGAGAGGGAGCCAGGCAGCCACCAGAACTGCCCCGAATCCAGCGCCCCGCTGCCCCCAGAGAGAGAACATGTGGCACAGGCTGGGGAGGGGACACTCAAAGACTCCAGCGACGACACCAACTAGAACTTTTTCATTTCAGAGGTTGTTGTGACTTGTAAGTTTCTTATCCCATAAAGGTTTGTTATCCCTCACTTCACCTTCATAAGAACCTGTGTCTCCATGAGTAATATTGCCTACCTGATTTCCTGTCGGAGGGCTGTGGTAACACATGTTGATAGTGCAGGGTCTTGCCACTTTGTTAGATGAGTGTCGTCTATCTAGTCTAGGGGGCACAGAATTCTCATTCTGTTATCCAGTTGTTCATTCCAGCAGCCGTGGTTACTACAGTACTTGGTGACACGCCCTACCCCCCCCCCCAAGTTTCCCGCTCATTTGAGGAGGAAGATGGCGAAAGAAAGCTGTCTAGGGACTGAAGACTAGTGACAAAGAAGCTCTTTTTTCCCGTGAGCTGGGCCGAGCAAAGAGAATGTTACTGGGAACCAAAAAGCACAGGAAAAGGACACGCTGGTGTGTACTTCTGAGTTAAAATATTTCCCTATTTTATCATGATTACTAAGTGAGTAGAATAGACAGAAGTATCTAACTAATGGTTGAAAATGCATATATTGATTTCCTTAAGAAACAAAAACTTTACCAGTAGTAATATAAATTGCTCCTTCATGGTTTGTCAGACACCTGCAGCAAGAAGAAATAGCCAGTGACTAGGCATTATTTTGTATTTTGTGTGGACCCGAATGCTCCCTCTCCCGGTTAAAAGAGGACTCTGAATTCGAGAAAGCCTCACGCGCGTGAGTTGGAGCCGGCCGTGCAGGGGCAGGGCCCATGGGGCCACGGCTGCTCTGCAGGCGCGCGGCTGGCACCCCGCTCTCACCTCCTCCTAGAGTTCTTCCAGCCTCTGAGTTGCTTCTGTGTTTAAAGAACACAAGGACCTAATGGGTTTTTTTATTTTGTGTTTTGCTTCACCAAGAATAAGGCTCTTTTTGGAGCCCATGAGAAAAGAGTCACTCAACACTTCTACACTTGCGAGGTCCTTTTGTTGGAGTTAGTTGAGGTTGGCAGAATGTGCGTGCGCCACCTTGTACGATACAACTGTGAGAGGTGTGTTTTCTTTTTTCTTCTCGCCCATTATTTCTCCTCTGTTTCTATCTTGCATTGGACCCAATTCCAAATTACCAGTTAGTCGAGGCTGTGCTGCACATCAACATTATTCCCTGTCCTGCAGCTTCTCAGTGGGTGGGCAGTGCTTTCCCGACCTCCTTCACCTTCGCACTCATACCGCATCCCTTCTGATGGTTTCATTCCTTCTGGATGGTTCACACTTGGAGACTCGGAATAAGCTCGGGGGTCAGTACTGTGGGGGCACAGGGCTGCACAGGGTGGTCAGAAACGTTGCAAGTGTTACTAGTACCAGTTTCACTTTTTGTTGTCACAATTTACTGTGTTTTTTACTTTTTCTGTTACAGTTTTGCTAATTTATCAGAAGGTCCAAAAGTTTGACATAACTATTTCAGTTCGCATTATTTATTTATGATGCTTTTGTCATTGTCTTTTATACATTTGGGATTATAAATTATGTAAATGTTTAAATGAGCATCTCGAAAGAAGTCTGTTAAATCATGATAAAAAAAATCAGATGTATTTTCAAAAGTGGGGTCCCATTTTTTTGAATCCGAGATATAAGCCAGAAATTCCATAACTGATCGTATAAGAAGAAAGAATCTGATAATTGAACAGATCCTATTTAATGACATCTTTGTAGAATAGATGGTCCTGTAATGCTGACGACAGATTTCTTAGAAATGCTGCTCTCTCTATTTAACTAACATTGTGTTCAGTTTTGCCTCCAGTGGAAGCAGAAACGGTTTTTTCAGCTGTTAAATCCTAAAAATCAATATAATTTATTTATGTAAAAAAAATCACTCAATCAATATATTTTTGAACCTTTTAAGTACTAATTTTCTTTTTATCAAGTAGAAAAAAAAATGTATTTGCCCTAAATCCTTAAAATACAAATGCTATAAAAATTCCTGTATCTTGAAAGCCTTACTGCAAATGCGTATCCTAGACATCCAACAGAGTCCGGTTTTCTTTGTTGTCACTGTGTTGTCGTTGTTTTGTATAGAAAACTGCATTCCCCAGGTTCCACTTATAACCTCCAGTAGGTCACAGGGTTCAATGTGGATCTGAGTTTAAAAACCCACCAGCATGTGCAACCCCTCGTTCCGTCTTCTCAAACCTGTATGTTATCTCTCTGGGTGTTTAGGCTTCTGTTTGACTGCTGTTGTGACCCTGTTTGCAAAATGAAAAATGACACTCTGTGGATTATTTGCTCTGTAAGGCATAATAAGTGCTTCTTATGATTATTTTCACATTTCCGAGAGCAAAAGCCAAATTTAAACTATCTTCCGCAAACTTGAGCCTTTTCATCTAATTCCATGTCACTCATGGCCATAACTTCCCTCGATCATTCTTCACTCCATGTCTTTACATAATAAATTGTCTGTGGTCTTGATCCTGGATTTAAAAAAAAAGTTTAAAAGTCAAATTTGTATGGGAGGAATTCAGTGGCACGTGGCTGTCTCTCTGCTGCCTGGGTGTTTTACGAACGCATCGTCAGCACACTAGGAGCCCATAGTCTCCTCCAGGCGCCTGATTGGTGCATGAGGACTGGGCCTTGGCCATCTCCTTGACCCTATCAGAACCCCTGGTTAGAATGTGCGTCAGTTAGAAGGAGGTCAGCAGCCCGTTCCCCAGGCTCAGGGCCTGAACTCTCAGCAGAGGCCTCACCAGCACCACCTCCTTAAGCCCCATACCAGAAATCACACCTCAGACCACACACCTGGGACTCCTAGGGCCGATTAGACTCTGTGGCATGGAACAGGCCAATAAAACACAAGAACACTTTGGTGGTTGAGGCACTCCTGGTTTTTTAAGAACTGTGTGGTCCTTAGCTTTAGGAAGCACAGCTCCCCACCCAGGAAGGGCTGTGTGAGAAACTATTGAGGCTGGCAGGAAACTGCTGCGGCCCTGTTCAGGACAGAGGAGGACACTGACCTGGCCTCACCTTGTGGGATCCGTCCTGGGCACCAACAGGTGGGTGTGTGAGTGGCTTGTTGGAGATGTTAGAGTCCCTGCTACCAGTTTTCAAGTAAGGATGTGTTACTAGTAGCCCTGAAGACCTCTGCTCAATACAGGGGCCCCTCCTCCTAGAAAGAGTGGTAACAGGGAGTCTAGAGGCTTGGTTTTACTCTTTGCCTCAAACCCAGTCCCAGTGGACAGGACCCCCTCGTCTGAGAGCAGACAGTACACCTGCATCCAGTAGGCTGGGCTAGTGTGTTTTGTGTATTTGCCGTCAGTGACCTCACTTGTCCTCACAGCATCTTGGAGCTGGGCAGAGGGATGCTGGCATCTGCTCCGCCTCCTGAGAGCCCAGCCGAGAGGCTGCCAGGGCTGTCTCGTCAATCATGAAGAGCAGAGCTGGGCCAGACCTCACGGTCCAGCAAGCTGGGCGAGAGGCACCCAAGTCCTGGCTTTCGTGATACCAGCCTTGAACCGCTCCACTTCAGAGACCACAACAGAGTGAGATTCTACTTGGAAAAAATTAGCGCTGGGGAAAATAGTACACACACACTTAAATGTCGCACCCTTGATTCATTTACAGTGAATGCTTCAAAATGCTTTCTTGCAGACATTGCTGTTCTCCTGCTTGCTCTGTAGACCACTGAAGGATTCCTTCCTTAGGTCAGAAACAGAGCTCTCCCAGCCAGAGACCAGGAGCTTGGTTCTAGACCGTACCGTGTTCTCCGCTTCTCCAAACCTGGAAGCCCAATTGCAAGGTCTCAGGATGTGCCGCTCAGCTGCGTGGTAGCCCAGGCTGTGGCCACCCTCGTAATGCCAGCCTGCCAGGTGTCTGTGAGATAAGAAAGGAAAGGGGGTGATTGGGTGCTGGCTGCTCCCAGGAAGGCACTCCGTCACATCTGTTTGGACATGGAGATTGGGGGTGGCTGTGGCAATTTGTTGCCATCCTAATAGCCCTGATACCTGAGTTCTGGCTTAGCCCTACCTAGCCCCAGCCATGCAGGACAAAGGGGGAACTAGAATGAGGAAAGCAGCTAACGTGGATGGGCTTCCAGCAGAAAGGGGGAACAGTACCTCCACCTTGCCCTGGTTGTCTCCCCGTGTATAAAATGGGGGTAGTTACTGGGTTCTAGAGTGCTTTTGATGGAATTGATTGGTCAGTGTCAAATGCTTGTTGTGTTGTGAGCCATCTAACTGTACTCCTGATGACAAGCCCCAGTGGAAAGATGGGGAAAGCAGGGATGAGGAAGGGGCAAGGGAAAGCCTGCTCCAAGTCCAGGGCGAGTGTGGCATGGATGTAGGCTTGAACTCAAAGCTTTCTGGCCTGACTGCATCCGCAGAAGCCCATCATTGGGTGAACTGGAAGGGAGTGAGGGCTGCTGGGGAGCAGGGAGGCTCCTGAGCTCGGGAAACCTCCCTCTGCGGGTCTGGTTGCCAGATTTAGGGGGGAAAATAAACTCAGTTAAGTTTGAAACTCAGATAAACATTTTTGTAGTATAAATATATCCAATGCAATATTTGATGTATACTTAGACTAAAAAAAAAAAAAACTTCTGTTTTTTATCTGGAACTCTTCTAACCAGACATCCTGTGTTTCACCTGGTCACCGACTCTGTGGGAATAGCACGCTCTTACAGGCACTTCCTGTGGGGTCACTGTGGCCGTATTCTCAATCCCCACAATTAATAATGAGGTTATCCCCCTATATCCAAGGGAATGGTCGCCCAGTGAGGCTAATAACCTGCCCAGTTATCCCACTGGTGAATGGCAAAACTCGGCTTTGAGAAAGGCCTGGTTCCAGAGCCATTCACTAACCAATAGGGGAGTGAGGTGTCTTTAGCCTGAGACTGGGAACAACCTTCCCCTCCACAGTTCAGCTTCCTAGAATAGCACAAAGCACAGATGATGAGCAAGGGGAGAAGAGCTGTGCCATGAGCTACAGCTACCAGCCTGAGACCAGGGAAGAGGCAGTTAAGACAGAAGACCAAGTAGTTCCTTTCCACTTGTCCTGTGCTGGTGTTGGGGGGCTTCTGAACAGAAGCTTAGCCTAGGGTGTCTGGGTGCCTGGACTCACCAGCCTGGGGCCAAGAGGCCACAAGAGGAGCAGTGTCCAATCTGGAAGGCAGTAAACAGAACGGCAGGGGATCAGCTCACTGCTCAGCCTGAAAGGCCTGTAGGGGAGAGGCTTTCTGCAAAGAGGGAAGC